TTGAGAAGAACATTTTTGATAGCTCAATCGTGGAGGTCGTAAGCTAACAGCGAATACACCATTGTTGACGATTTACATGTCGCAAATTACTCCAAATTACTCGGATATAGTTAATCCGATATTCACGAAACGCTGTATACATATTGCTATTATGATTGCACACATATTTCAAATTGCCTTCCATTAGCCCCGCCCCCCAGAAAGTCGGCCATTTTTTTAAAATGTGCGGTTTTCAGCCATTTTACGCACGTTCTTGCGAACTCCTCCTAGGGGAATGATCGGAAAAAATCCAATCCAGGACAAGTTCAGCCCATTTCCAATGTGATGCTAAATTGCGAAGGAATAGTCGATCGCTCAAACGACGACTTCGTAAGCGAACGGAGAACTTTCCATTTTTTACCGATTTACATGTCCCAAATTACTCCAAATACTCGCGTATACTTTTTCCAATATTCAGGAAACGCTGTATACATATTACTATTATGATTGCACACATATTTCAAATTGCCTTCCATTAGCCCCGCCCCCCAGAAAGTCGGCCATTTTGAAAAATGTGCGGTTTTCAGCCATTTTACGCACGTTCTTGCCAACTCCTCCTAGGGGAATGATCGGAAAAATTCCAATGCAGGACAGGTTTAGCCCCTATCCAATATGATACTTAATTGAGGAGCACATCTTTGAAAAATTACTCGTGGAGGTCGTAAGCTAACAGCGAATACACCATTTTTGACGATTTACATGTCACAAATTACTCCAAACTACTCGGATATAGTTATTCCGATATTCACGAAACGCTGTATACATATTGCTATTATGATTGCACACATATTTCAAATTGCCTTCCATTAGCCCCGCCCCCCAGGAAGTCGGCCATTTTGAGAAATGTGCATTTTTCATGCATTTTCAGCACATTCTTGCGAACTCCTCCTTGGGGAATGATCGGAAAAATTCCAATCCAGGACAACTTCAGCGCATATCCAATGTCATGCTACATTGAAAAGGAATAGTCTTTCGCTCAAACGGGGAGCTCGTAGGCTAACGGAGAATGTACCATTTTTGACCCATTATATGTCAGATAAGCTACTGAGCCCTGCCTGTCTGCCTGGCACATCAACTCTCACACACACACACACACACACACACACACACACACAAACACACACACACACACACACACCCTCGCTAACCCTAACCCTAACCCTAACCCTAACCCTAACCCTAATGTTTATTTGTAGATATCTCCTAAAGCCTACAGATAAAGTGTGACATGTAGGCCTGTTACATTTGTTATTGAGCGATATATATTATACACACTGTTCTGCTTTCTGCACTGCCCTCAGCAGCTGTTCTCACTGTAACATCACCTAACATCCAGGGGACATGTGATTAGTGAGTAAACAAACGGTAAAGGGCAGAAAGTCTGATGCACATTTGATCATCTCAAATAACTTATAATCACAACGGGAACAGTTTGCAGAGCTGTGCTTCATTTGACAGAAGTCCAGCCATGCGTCACGCCTCTTTTAAACATCACTGTTGGCTGAAATCGTCTCAGGAGAATACTTCAGTGTACCCTCGGTTATAGCTCCTCCAGAGACACTCCTCTCTCCTCTAAATCAGTGTATCCTCGGTTACGGCTCCTCCAGACAGCCTGACTCGATAATCGATCCTCGACGACCCTTTAGAGAAATTTGTTTTCCTTCGACATCCGTTTCCGGGTCGCTGCCGGAGCACCTGGGAGTCTGGGACGCGAAAATTAGAGAAATGACAAACGGCTCATTTCCCAGGACTCGCGCACGTCTGCTTGACGCCGGGACGACCTGCCGCCCTCCCCGACAGGCGCACGGACGCGAGGGCCCGCTCATCACTGCGCGCACAAGTGCGACCGCAGTTTTAATTATTATTATTTTTATTAAATTAGAAATATTATTGATTACATCAATGCATATGTGAAACAAACACATTTTTGACCAAAAACATAAAGCCAACACAGGTGATATGATTAGGCCAATGGTCAGCACCCATTCGATTTTTGTCCTACCCATAGGCTAAATTACTTTGTGACACTTGATTGACTTCCTGTTAGCTAGAGCGCCAAATAATTTGCTAACAGCAAAGTGAAAAATTGATCGTTTTTTAGTCCTTAAACGACCACGTGTCCACTCAATCAAAACCAACTGAAAGCGAGAGGGATTCTGCACATAATAGGCCTCGTGAGTACAAGTAGCTTACTTCTGGGTCTCTGTGTTTCATTCAAGCCCTGCTCTGTGTGTGTGTTTGTGTGTGTGTGTGTGTGTGGCACGAGCCATTTTGTGTGCGTGCGTGCGCGAGCGAGCGAGAGAGCTCGCCTCGCGCACCAGTGGGTATCTACCGGAGATCGTTGTGGTTAGCATCTGGTGCTAGCTAGCCAAGCTAATGGATATAAGGAGCTTTTTCAACAACAAGGTGGAGGGAGAACTCTCTCCTGTCAGACGGAGAGTCTCAGGTAACCTCAACTCAGGTGAAGTAAAGGACTCTCTCAGTGTTTAGATAGTTAACTTTAGTCTAGTTATCTCAGTGGGTCTCAAACGGTTTGTTTTAAAAGGGGAGTGATTTGTAAAATATCTATAAAGAAATAGAAAATCTGTTGACAGTTCTGTTTCGTATGGGTGTTGAGATGTATCCATAGATCTCTTAATGTTGCTCTCAAAGTGCACCAGATTGATGCTTTTAACTTAAATATGTAACAAAAAATCTTCGCGGGGGAGCTAGCCCCCGGACCCCCCTAGAGGAGGTGAGGACCCTCCTAGAGGAGGTGAGGTCCGCTCCCCACTTGTAAAAATAGCACTTTACCCCTGCCTATATGCCGTGAGCTGATTATCGAGCCTTCATTGTAACAGTCGCGGGTGCACTGTGTGTGTGTGCGTGGGGAGTGTTGCAGTAGAAAATTCAACTGTAGCGCTGGTGCATTAATGGGAAACCCTAAATGTTTGAGCACCCTCTATGAAACGTCAAGCTACCCCACAGCACCCCCTAGAGAAAATCTCTGGCGCCGCCACTGCCTACATTCCCAAATCCATGTATCCCTTCTTCCATTCATCCCTCCCTCCCTCATGTCTTCATCCCTCCCTTCATCCATCCTCAATACCTACATCCATTCCTCCCTCCTTCCCTACATCCCTTCATCCCTCCATACATCCCTTTATTGATTCATCCCTCCCTTTCTAGTTCCCCTTTTCCATTCATCCCTTGATTCCTTCCCTACATCCCTTGTTCCATTCATAATTTCCTCCCTAAATTCCTTGACACTTCATCCTTAAATCCATTCATCCCAACATCCCGTCATCCATGTATTCCTGCCTCAACCCTTCATCCCCTTCTCACTACATTCCCTCATCCAATCTTTACTTCCTCCCTTCATCTCTCCATGACTCAATTTCTACTTACCATCATTGTTCCATCCCTCCATCCCTTTAGTCGTTTGTCCTTCCCCGTCTACATCCTTTCAACCCTTCATTCCTGGCTGCTCTGCTACCTTTCATTCATCAACATCCATCCATCGCTACATCCCTCTAGCATTCATCCCTCCCTCAACCCTGTATTCATACATCCCTTAGTCCCTTCTTCCAATGACATTTCATCCATTCATCCCTACACCACTTCATCCCTCCCTGCCTACATTTGTTTTGACTTTTATTTACTACATCCCTCCATCCTCTCTTCCTGTCTCCACTCATCACTTCCTTTTTCATCCAATGTATACTTTGTCTCATTCTAGGTACCGTCAGTGGGCTCTGCAGAGACTACAGTACCTTCTCATCCTTTGTTCCCTTTTCCATTTACATTCATCAGTGCTTAACATCCTACACCGCCTGTTATAAATCGTTAGCTGATCTATTAATAATAATATTAATCCTTATATTTATTATAGCGCTTTATCAATGACTCAAAGCACTTTACAAATACACATTACACATACAGATCATACGTAATGGTCCTCTACTGTGGACAATCCCCACAGGAGCAAGTTCAGGTGAAGTGTCTTGCCCAAGGCGGGAGCGGGTTTTGAACTGGAGTTCCCCAACGCCCCCTTGATCTGATGACCAAACGCACAGACCACTGCGCGTTCTGCACAGCCAACTATTGTTTTGGTGTGGTCCTACAGGGAAAAGTCCATTAGTTAATGCTAGTCAATAACCAATACTATGAGATTATGTTTAAGAATAAAGGATTGTATTAAAGTTTCTGCTGAGTTTGCAATATGTAAATGATGTTGGTGACCAGTGTGAACTATTTGTATTATATACACGATAAGACTTCTAATGTTTATTGGGTTGGATGTCCATGGTAAAAACCTAAAATGCACATTTGTTCACTCATAATGTTTTTAGATAAAGAACAAAAAGTGAATTTGAATTTGTCAAAATAATCAATCATTGATGTTAACATGTTGTCTCAGGGTCCTGAGTCAGTATCTGGTGTTTCACTGTCCTCTAGTGGGGGATTTGAAGTGTGACACATTCAGGCTTCATGACTCTGAGAGCTCCCTCCGTCTGCTTTAAAGGGTACATTCACCCAAACTACAAAAATACAGATATCCTCTCTTACCTCCAGTCGTATTTAAACATGGAGATAGTTTGATGAATTTCTTGCATGCTGTGAGGTCGGTTTTCAAATGTTAAAGCTTCTGTTTAAACGTAAGATGAACACAGCTCTTCCAACTGATCCACCAAAACAAGCTAAAGTTATTGAAACTATTGTTTTAATCAACGTCATCATAAAACTGTGAGTCCAAATCTGATTTACTTGCATTTTGCTCATCATGCATACTAATGATCAAAAGAGGAAATAAATCTCTTAAAAGCCTGATATCCGTCTTCTGCTCATTGACGACAGAGGAAAGGCATCTTTGAACACATCGTTCCTCCTTCACTGTGAGTAGAAACAGTTTATTGATGTAATGATTCTGTAAACCTCCTGTGAACATTATTGAATCTGACATGTTTTATAGTCTCACAGAGATGAGAGGAGCAGCTATGAGTCTAACTGCAGCAGCGAGTGGATTAGTTGTCTTCCTGCTCTCTGTGTCAGGTAGCCTACTGTACTTTTACACATTCATCACATGAACAGAGGGGATTCTGGGAAATGTGGGACTCGTAAAATCAGGTCATTTGTGAAAATAGATCAGAGTTGTGTGAAATGCAAACTTCCCAGAAATATTATAAATATTAATTCTGTGTAGATTTTAAAGTTAGTTTTTAGTGTTACTTGTGATTAGTGGATATTGTGTTGGTCACAACAAGTCCTCCAACTCATACGACCAAATGGGTCGATTGTTTAAGCCCTTATTACGACCAAATATGTCGTTTGTTCAAGCGCTTAATACGACCTATAATTACGTTTTAAAGTTGTCGGCCTCTAGGGCTCCCGTTGAATGCAAACGTTACAGATGGTCGTTTATTCACAAATAACCCTCTCTGTAAAATCCTAAATTGTAGGATAATTTGGCCATTAAAACGCTTTATGATTAGATTTCTAGCGAGAAGTATATATTGTACTTTTAGAATCCACGTCCAGTCGTTATGTAGGATCTATAGTTTGATAGATATTACGAAGATGATTTGAGGTTTCGTCAGGAGAACGTGTATATGCGGCAAGCTTCCATGTAAAGTTACGGGTTGAAAACAGTATTTCCGGTCTCGACGTTTTCATAATAAAACCAATGATCAAATGATTTAACAGTGATATCTGCAGTACTCATCCACTAAAAAACATCAGTTGATCCTAGTTAATTATATGACATTAATTGGTTTAAATTGTGTACATTGCTTTTGTGTTTTTCCCATAGGGTTTTCTCTTTCGATTCTGAGAGACACATTTCTTTTTTCAGAGGTTTTGATAGGCTAAAATCACGCCGCAATGCACGTCGGGATATGGTGTTTATGTGATATGAAATCGGAAAACATTTAAAAAAAATTAAATAATACTTTATTCCGAGTGTTCTTGCTTTTCTCTTTGACAGTCATCACATAACGGCATTGTAATACACGGTTCGGCTGCATTAAATATTACATATCTGCCGTAGATATGTATTTATAGAGCCCTGATCAGAAGACCTTTTGACAAACTGGAAGAGATGCCGCCAAAACTGAATTCGTGACGTGGACCATAAAATATCAACAATTAAACAACATCTTCCATTTATTTTCACACAATACGTCTCCTTGCAGTATCAACACTAATTCGGCTGACTTTTATTTGATCCAATTAGTAGATAGTCTGTATTTACACCATAACGGTGCACAGCTGACAGAAAGGGATTTTTTTGTAGTTTTTAAAGATATTACTGATCTTCTGAACTACCTTTCCAATTCCTCATGCAGTTGACTGTTACAGGTCTATAAAAGTTTATGGTACAATGCATAAGCTTCACATTGAGAGACTGAAACTGTATTTTCCTTTACCGTTCTGTTTTAATTTCACAATAAAGTGAATAGTCATATTATGTTTGATATTATTATGTTTTATTAACTAGACCACTGGTCTAAACCGTACCTCCTAGTGGTTAAAGCACGTTATTGAATTTAGTTGTTGAATACATAAATTGTTATGAAAACCTTTAAATATTAAGAGTAGCCTACATACAAAATAGGGGTCAATGATAGAAATATAGAATAGAAAATATCAAGAAGATACTGTAGTGATATCTACAATAAAACAGTTTAGTGCAGGACGTCCAAAGATATTAACAGGAGGATGTGCAAAACAGACAAACTGATAAGGCTGAATTTTACTCAGGTGTAGCGAAAGTCTGATTTAAGGGTTGTTTATATTTCACATCATTAATCAGAATCTGCAAAGTAACAAAAATAAATGTAGTAGAGTAAAAATACCAGGTTGACCTCTGAATTGTAGTGGAGTAGAACAAAGTAGTACATGCTGCTGTAACAAAAACATTTCCCAACTTGGGATCAATAAAGTATCTTATATTAAAATGATCGATGGCTACTGCCATATTTGCTAAATGTGCATCTGAACCTTGACAAGTGCATGTTTCAGGCTTATCAATTAACAACAGGAGGGGTCACAGACATAAGACCAGCTGTTAAATAAAGCTCTTCTGACCTTAGCTGTCATGTGGGTATATTAATGCTGCCCATTATGGGCACAAGCAATTTTCACCCATGTATTAATTATATGTTTTAAACTTGATAACACCAATGTGTTTCGTATCCCCTAAACCTCCAGGGATGTATACAGTTTAATACTGGCAACTTCTAATTGTGGGAAATACGAAAACGTCTTATAAAACTACAATTCCCAGTAGAGACATGCCATAGAACATATTGCGAAACACACAATAGCCATCATGTGTAATTCTGTGGGGGAGGGCTGCGCTGGACCCGTCCAAGTCCAGTTTTGGATAGTCTGGCGTGGTTCCGTTCCATTTCAAAGAGCTGTTTGACATTCGGCGTAACCTTGTCGCACTGCCACTCCAACATCCAATCACAGAGCTTGAGGGCTAATCACGGGGTTTGTAAAGCAAGGCGGATGTTGTAGTCCCAAACGATAGCTGGGGATTCTGGGTAGTGTAGTGTCTTCGGAAACTCTGTAGTGTCTAAACTCCGAAAAAACTATTTTTTTTTCCGAATCGAAGGTTAAAAACACAAAAGCATTGTACACAATTTAAACCAATCAATATTGTGTAATTAACAAGGATAAACTGATGTTTTTTAGTGGATGAGTAATGGAGATATCACTGTGTAATCATTTGACAGTGTGGGGAATACTTCCGGTTTTATTATGAAACTTCGAGACCGGAAATACTGTTTTCACCCATGCTAACTTTACATGGAAGCTGCCCCATATACAGTACACGTTCTCCTGGCGAGACCTCAAATTATCTTCGTATATCTATCAAACTGTAGACCCTACACATCCACTGGACGTAGATTATAAAAGTACAATATACACTTCTCGCTAGAAATCTAATAAAAAAGCATTTTAATGGCCAAACTATTCCACAATTTAGGATTTTCCAGAGAGGGTGATTTGTGAATAAACGACCCTCCGGAGCGTTTGCAATCGACAGGAGCATGTTGTTTCTTACACGACCACTAGAGATGCTACACTTTAAAACGTGACTCTGGATCGTATTTAGCTGCTGAACAATCGACCTATATGGTCGTTTTTTGTAGGAGGACAGGCTGGTTGGTCAACATCATTTGCACTTATCTTTTTCATGAAATGTCTTTGTTCAAACAACTTTTACACGCTGTAACCTGAGAATAATGTTCATTCATGACTGTTCGCTCCTCACCATGTGAACACATTTTGCTTTGTTTTATTTTTAAGATAATAATAATAATACATTTTATTTCTATAGCGCTTTTCTTGAACCCAAAGACGCTTTAAAGATGACACTGGTTAAAGAATTGCTTGTTGTTTTCAATACATTTTAGTGTTTTTAAGGGATATTCTCCCACAAGTCATTACATGCTGTCTATCAACTTCTCTTATGTCGCAATACCTCTGCACCAAACTCTGCAAGTTCCCACACTGTGAGTTTAAAGCAGTCTTCTTCTTTTTCTTATCTCTATATCCGACAGAAGCTGCTCACACCTCAGTGTTCTGCATTCAATGTTATTTTTCACACTTAACTCAGCAGCAACCTGACCACAGAGCGAACAGAGAGGGAACTGTTCAGAGAAACACACACTATTCTAATTAATATGATCCCTAATAATTCACCATTAAGACATCTTCCAATCTTTGAGTGCATTGACTATATGTATAACTAAGCTAACACATTGCTTTGTACTTCTATTCTGCCAGGTTTAGTTAAGAAATAACATTAAAAGGGTAATGCAGTATCATTTTCAGCAGTTATAAAGTATGTGAGAAGGAATTAAGATGTGAGTTTAAAATGCTCTTCATAGAAAAAGTGAGTGAAATGTAAAATGTTTGTTGACGAGTAAATGGCACTTTTCAAACAATTTGAAGACTGTGTACATTAAATAGACAATAGTTCAAACACATTAAGTAGGAATTATTTCTGAGTCATACCAATGATATATATCACACAATTAATTATATATCATACAATTCTATATTCAACTTAATTTCTAGTTAGATCCTGTAGTTTTGGTGCAGTGGTTAGAGCGTTGATCATCAGATCAAGGGGCGTTGGTGAACTCCAGTTCGAAACCCGCCTCGGCCGCCGTTGTGTCCTTGGGCAAGACACTTTGCCCGCATTTGCTCCTGTGAGTAATGTCCACAGTAATGGCTCTTACATGTCTAATATGTGTACGACTGGAGGTAAGAGAGGATATCTGTATGTTTGTAGTTTGGGTGAATGTTCCCTTTAAAGCAGACGGAGGGAGCTCTCAGAGTCATGAAGCCTGAATGTGTCACACTTAAAATCCCCCACTAGAGGACAGTGAAACACCAGATACTGACTCAGGACCCTGAGACAACATGTTAACATCAATGACTGATTATTTTGACAAATTCAAATTCACTTTTTGTTCTTTATCTAAAAACATTATGAGTGAACAAATGTGCATTTTTAGGTTTTTACCATGGACATCCAACCCAATAAACATTAGAAGTCTTATCGTGTATATAATACAAATAGTTCACACTGGTCACCAACATCATTTACATATTGCAAACTCAGCAGAAACTTTAATACAATCCTTTATTCTTAAACATAATCTCATAGTATTGGTTATTGACTAGCATTAACTAATGGACTTTTCCCTGTAGGACCACACCAAAACAATAGTTGGCTGTGCAGAACACGCAGTGGTCTGTGCGTTTGGTCATCAGATCAAGGGGGCGTTGGGGAACTCCAGTTCAAAACCCGCTCCTGCCTTGGGCAAGACACTTCACCTGAATTTGCTCCTGTGGGGATTGTCCACAGTAGAGGACCATTACGTATGATCTGTATGTGTAATGTGTATTTGTAAAGTGCTTTGAGTCATTGATAAAGCGCTATAATAAATATAAGGATTAATATTATTATTAATAGATCAGCTAACGATTTATAACAGGCGGTGTAGGATGTTAAGCACTGATGAATGTAAAGGGAAAAGGGAACAAAGGATGAGAAGGTACTGTAGTCTCTGCAGAGCCCACTGACGGTACCTAGAATGAGACAAAGTATACATTGGATGAAAAAGGAAGTGATGAGTGGAGACAGGAAGAGAGGATGGAGGGATGTAGTAAATAAAAGTCAAAACAAATGTAGGCAGGGAGGGATGAAGTGGTGTAGGGATGAATGGATGAAATGTCATTGGAAGAAGGGACTAAGGGATGTATGAATACAGGGTTGAGGGAGGGATGAATGCTAGAGGGATGTAGCGATGGATGGATGTTGATGAATGAAAGGTAGAAGAGCAGCCAGGAATGAAGGGTTGAAAGGATGTAGACGGGGAAGGACAAACAACTAAAGGGATGGAGGGATGGAACAATGAAGGTAAGTAGAAATTGAGGGATGGAGAGATGAAGGGAGGAAGTAAAGATTGGATGAGGGAATGTAGTGAGAAGGGGATGAAGGGTTGAGGCAGGAATACATGGATGACGGGATGTTGGGATGAATGGATTTAAGGATGAAGTGTCAAGGAATTTAGGGAGGAAATTATGAATGGAACAAGGGATGTAGGGAAGGAATCAAGGGATGAATGGAAAAGTGGAACTAGAAAGGGAGGGATGAATCAATAAAGGGATGTATGGAGGGATGAAGGGATGTAGGGAAGGAGGGAGGAATGGATGTATGTATTGAGGATGGATGAAGGGAGGGATGAAGACATGAGGGAGGGAGGGATGAATGGAAGAAGGGATACATGGATTTGGGAATGTAGGGTTGAGCGTTTAAGGAATTTAGGCAAGTAAGGATGAATGGAAGAAGGAAGGGATGAGTTGATGAAGGAATCTTTAGGGGATGTAGGGACGAAGGGTGGAGAAAGAAAGCGGATGTAGGTTGGGGGGGATTAGGGGATGTAGGGAGGGAGGAATGAATGGAAAAAGGGATATATGGATCTGGGCCTTTAGGGTCAAGGGTTTAAGGGTCAAAGGGATGTAGGCAGGAAGGAATCAAGGTATAAACGGATAAAGGGATATAGGTAGAAAGGGATACATGGATGAAAGGATGTAGGAAACGAGGGACAAATGGTTGAAGGGATGAGGCTGAGAATGAGGTAGAAAGGGGAAGGGATGAATGGAGATTGGATGTTGAAATATAAAACTTCAGCATTTTGTCAAGGTTTTGATACGGCAGTCGTATGTTTGGGTCTGTTGTGAAGAGATGAAACGAGGACAGATGTATTGACCGAATAAAAGAACTATAGCAGATGATAAGAGATGTTGATGCTTAGCCCTGCTGAAATAACTCCTTCACATTTAGTGAAGCTGGATCTTACTGCTTAGATCAGGGGTGCAATACGTCGACCGGTCGATCGCGAAGGTAGTGTGGGTAGATCGCATGGCTTTTTTTATTTTTAAGTTAGCCTATCATCCATCCTTACTATGGCATTTGTCACTTGATTGACGTACAGGTAAGCCAGTCTGAGTTGTATTGTGACATACGGGCTCATGCAGTTATGAGGGGGCCTCACCTCCTCATCTGAAGTGAAAAAGTGTGGGCACCCCTGGCTTAGATGAATGACTCTGTATGTGGCAATGCCAGAGTTGGATCAACTTCCCAGTTCTTGTCATGTCCAAGAAACTTATAGTGAAAATGTATTCTTTATGTTAGTTTTGTCATGTCCCTTTGTCCTGTGCTTTATGTTTATTCCCTTAATTAATTCTCCCTCTCATTTCAGGCCTCCACGCTCCCCGCCCCCTTCTGTCTCCTGCGTCCTTGATCCTGTTCATTGTCAGTTCGTTGTCTCTCTATGACCTACATTCCTGCTTACCTCACGGACATCTCACGGATCTATGTTATTGATCAGTGCTCTAGTTTTCCTCGAAAGAGTGTTTTTGTTTTCCTTGTTTTCATTACTGTGCAAATCCCAGTAAAGTCTTTATTTTGAAACACTATCCGAGTCTGAGTTTGAGTCGAGCAATTGAGTTCATGCCTCAGAGTTCACTCCTTGACAGTTCTCAATAGGCGCATTCACACCGCAGTACTTTTCCCACAAAGGTTCATGAGAACTTAGTTCATGAGAACTCTTTTGTCACGTTCACACCAAAAAGAGCCGGTACTAAAATTAGTTCATGAGAACCTTTTTACCCCCTCGAAAGTCCCTGCTAGAGAGCAGAGACTTTCCTGCGGCTCTCTTGTGAGAAAATAGCTATATGTCTGATTGGCTGGGCGGATTGCAAACCACGCCCCGTAAAACTCCCAAAAAGTTTTGTGAAGCCGCCATTTTATTATCCTCACATTTGCATCATTAGCATTAGCATTAGACCAGCGCAGAAACGCAGAGAGACTAACTTATGGCAACACAAAATAAAACATGGGAGCGGTGGAGATGAGGAGGTGTCTGCGTTCTGGCGATTTACTCGGAAGGCTTCAGTAGAAGCTGCTGGGAGTCCCAGCAGCTTCTACTGAAGCCTTCCCCAACTCCGGGTACTTCCGGCCGGGGACTTTGGGCGGCAGTATACGCCGTGAAGTGGTTTGCGGCCTGCCAATAAACCCAAAGCAGAAGAAGAAGAAGTGACGTCAGCGGCTTCATTTGCCTAATCCACCCCCAGGGACTTATTCCGGTGTGAACGCGATCTGTACTTAGTTCATGTGAACTAAAGAGTTCTCATGAACTAAGTTCTCGTGAACCTTTGTGGGAAAAGTACTGCGGTGTGAATGCGCCTATAGTCCGGTCTCTGTTCATTAATTAACCTACATGGCATGGCATTGAATAATTGTATGTGTCAGCTGGAAATAGAAACACTGGAAACAGAATATAACTTGGTGAACGTCCAGTTTTTGTCAAGATACATGACAAGTTGAACACAGGAAAGGCAGACTGGGCGATGGAAAGCACAGCCACAGTCCTGCTTATCATTGTGGGACATGTAGTTTAGTCAAGCTGCAGTTTGTGGTGCAGACAGTTCATCTATTTTGACTCATGCACTTTTCTACTTTAGATGTATTTGATGCAAAAAGTAGTATTGCAAACTTTTCCCAGTTTGTTCACTGCTGAGATTAGCTGACAGACCCTTGGTTTAGATACTTCATTTAGCTTTCTATTACAAAAAAGGAAGACAAGAGAGGTGGTCTTTAGAAAGGTTTCGTTTGGACACAACACCTTTTTTGCAAAACAAGCTGTGCATTTTAATAATGTCAAGAGGAAGGAAGTGGTATTTTGAACCTGCTTCCAGTCTCCTTTTCACTCTCGAGCCCACAGAAGGACGTTAAGGTTCAAGAGAACTTCCTTTAAGTTGATGTAGAACTGTTTTCTTGTGGACATCAATCTTCTTTATTTTATAGCCACACGGAGACGAGAGGAGCCGCTATGATTTTAACAGCGAGTGGATTTGTTGTCTTCCTTCTCTGTATGCCAGGTAATGTCTATCATTGTACAACATTTACCACACTTATTCAAAGCACTTCAAAGAGAGATATATTATAAATAGATAGTTGTTTATTTTATTTCCAATCGACTGTTGAACTTGTTTATCATTGAAGGTCCTTTGACAGTGTGTCTCTGTATGTTTGTATGCTCTTTATGTCTTTCGATAAATGGTTTGTTGACACAAAATACACCTTTAATACCATTTGTTGACAATTCCCATGTACCCAAAACTGATCAAATATAATACAAACTTGTATTCTATATTCTAGTTTAGGCATAGTTAGATTGACGCATTATCAGGACGTTGTGTTGATAATGACTGCTGATAGTTGGGTCATTTTAAGCTTGTCTATGTTTCCATTGCCCAAAATCTCATCAGTAATTTCATCCACTTTGTCTAATTTACTGATATTAGCTAAGCATTGAATTAGTTTTTGATGTGCTCTGTGTTTCAGCGGTTCAGGGTCAGTATGGCTGGGGAGCGACTTACTCTTCTACTCAGATCTGTGCAGTGAAAGGATCAACAGTGGAAATAAGCTGCAGCTACAGATACCCATCTACAATAAATCACCAAGTAAACACAGTACAGAAAACCTTCTGGTTTACTCAGAAGAAAGATGGTGAACTTGTAGATCTGACCACAGCCTCAGAGTATGCAGGTCGTGTAGAGGATCTCTGTGGAAACAACAGATGCACTCTGAGAATCAAAAACCTGAGAGAGAGCGACTCAGCTGAGTACAGGTTCAGGTTCAAAACAAACAAAGATACATATACTGCTTCACCAGGAGTCACTTTGTCTGTCACAGGTAACTTTTGTGTGTGTGTGTGTGTGTGTGTGTGTGTGTGTGTGTGTGTGTGTGTGTGTGTGTGTGTGTGTGTGTGTGTGTGTGTGTGTGTGTGTTTTTTGGTTGATATTGTCTTCATTGTATTCAATAGCTACTATCTAATGAACCATGGGGTGAAACAAACACCCATTATAGATACTGTGAATGCTTTGGGGTATTTATATGAATCATCAAAATGTATTACATGTTTTGTTTCCTTCTCAGATCCAGATCTACTGGTCATCGGAAAAACAATAGTCCACCAGAGTAATTCCAAAGCAGAGCTTCAGTGTCACAGCAGATGTATTTTACCTCATGATCCTTCCTACATCTGGTACAAGAACGGACAGAACATTCGGGGAGAAACCTCTTCTTCTTTTTCAGTCTATTTTGATTCAGCTGACAGCTTTTCCTGCGCTCTTAAAGGACATGAGAATTTCCCGTCTCCTTCACAGTGTGAGTTTACTCTACAGTCTTTCACTAACAGAACGCCATGGCACAATGATTGCAAGTACTTTGAATATCAATAAACCCATTTCCCCTTTTTATGTTACGTTTTTATTTTTGGCCCCTCGCTCTCCATGATCACTTCTGCTTTAAGCAACTCAACAACCTGCTCTGTATTACAGCTGTGAGAGAAGGAGTTGTATCAGCTCAGTTCAACAAATGTTTTATCTTTCAGGTGTTGACGGTCAAACCTGTAACAGAGTGATTCACACTGACAGGAGCATCTGTGCCTTCAAAGGATCATCAGTGGACATTTCCTGCATATACAGCAGTTATGAATCGATCACTGATGGATTCTGGTTCAGTCCTGAGCGTTATCATCAGGGACAGAACCCCTCTCAACCTGAGGACCTTAGTGAAGACTCCCAGTATGCAGGTCGTGTTCAGATCCTTGAGACAGAGAGAGGACACTCCACTCTGAGGATCTCTGACCTGAGAGACTCAGATTCAGCTCAGTATCTCTTCAAATTCAAAACACCAAGCTTTGAATGGAGGAGTGATTTACCTGGAACAACTCTGACTGTCACAGGTACTGACCAACACACACTGATGTTATACAGCATACCAGTAGCTAATGTGGAAGGTAGCTGTTATAATGTAGATTGTTATTTACAACTCTCTATCAATTCATGTTTATCTTATTTTAGACTTTGTAACCTTGATCTGGGTATTTGATAAATAACAAACACTTTTTTCCCCTCAAAGATCCAGATCTGAAGGTGAAGGTGCAGGTGCATTCATATTCACGGTCTGAGCTCCAGTGTTACACCAGTTGTCGCCTGCCACATGGTTCTTCCTACATCTGGTATGAGAATGGGCTGAAAATGGCAAAAGAAACATTATCTTCATATTCAGTCTACTTTGGTTTTGCATCCAGCTACTCCTGCGCTGTGCGAGGACATGAGGATTTCCCCTCGCCTCCAGTGTGTGAGTGTTTCCCTCTGGCCCTCTGGTGGAGCTTGTAGGTTATTGCACTTTTCCTTCAAAGCTTTAATTCAGTAGTAGCTGTTCACCAGAAATAGCGGAGACTCAGAAGAAAAGCATACTGCTGATAACAACATTGCAGAGATGTTGCAAAGACCATGCAATTGTTTTTACATACTCTTACTTCTTCTATTACTTTTTTAGTGACTCACTATTAAATGACTTCTTTATGAAAAACTGTACTGTGACTTTTTATGAGATGATATGGAATATTATAACATGATTTGATTGACTTTTGTGTGACATACTATACTTTTTATCCATCCATCCATCCATCTTCTCCCGCTTATCCGTGGTCGGGTCGCGGGGGTAGCAGTTCCAGCAGAGAGCCCCAAACTTTCTTTTCCCTGACGACATCAACCAGCTCTGACTGGGGGGTCCCAAGGCGCTCCCAGGCCAGCGAAGAGATATAATCCCTCCACCTGGTCCTAGGTCTACCCCTTGGTCTCTTCCCAGCTGGACGTGCCTGGAACACCTCCCTAGGGAGGCGCCCAGGTGGCATCCTAACTAGGTGCCCGAACCACCTCAACTGGCTCCTTTCGACACGAAGGAGGAGCGGCTCAACTCCGAGTCCCTCCCTGATGACCGAACTTCTCACCTTATCCCTAAGGGAGACGCCAGCCACCCTGCGGAGAAAACCCATCTCGGCCGCTTGTATCCGCAATCTCGTTCTTTCGGTCATGACCCATCCTTCATGACCATAGGTGAGGGTAGGAACGAAAATGGCCCGGTAGACAGAGAGCTTTGCCTTCTGGCTCAGCTCCCTTTTCGTCACAACGGTGCGGTAAAGCGACTGCAGTACCGCTCCCGCTGCTCCGATTCTCCGGCCCATCTCACGCTCCATTGTTCCTTCACTCGAGAACAAGACCCCGAGATACTTGAACTCCTTCACTTGGGGTAAGGACTCATTCCCTACTTGGAGTGGACAGTCCATCGGTTTCCTGCTGAGAACCATGGCCTCAGATTTGGAGGTGCTGATCCTCATCCCAGCCGCTTCACACTCGGTTGCGAACCGATCCAGTGAGTGCTGAAGGTCGCAGACCGATGAAGCCATCAGAACCACATCATCTGCAAAAAGCAGTGGTGCAATCCTTAATACTAATACTTTTTATGACACATTTAAATATCACTTTATTGTGAATCCCAACAATGTGTGTAACCCAATATAAACCATTTTAAAATGGCCTCAGGTGTTACAGTGATTAAAGCATGTTTATTAAAAAATGTGTGCAGTTATGTTTTCCATTGTTCACATGTGCCCTAAAAGACTGCTCCAATACACATTCACTGACAACATTTTAAATTGTTTTGTTTTTCAGGTGTCAGAGGTCAAACCTGTAACAGGGTAATTTACACTGAGAGAAGCATCTGCGTCCCCAAAGGATCATCAGTGGACATTTCCTGCACGTACAGCAGCTTTGAAGACGTTGTTCAATCTAAGTTCTGGTTCAGTCCTGAGCGTAGTCATCAGGGACAGAATTCCTCTCAACCTGAGGACCTTAGTGAAGACTCCCAGTATAGAGGTCGTGTTCAGATCCTTGAAACATGGAGAGGACGCTCCACTCTGAGGATCTCTGACCTGAGAGACTCAGATTCAGCTCAGTATCTCTTCACATTCAAAACACCAAGCTTTGAATGGAGGAGTGATTTACCTGGAACAACTCTGACTGTCACAGGTACTGATCAACACACACTGATGTAAATACACCAGGACAATACAGTTCAAAATCAATGTTGATCAATCAGTTTGTGTAATTAATGTTTGATGAATAGTGACTGTTGTTTTTCTCTATTTCAACATTTATCATAATGTTTTTCTTTTGCTTTATTGAAAGGTATAAATAAACTTGCCTTGCCTTGCCTTACTATTGTTTCTTGTTCTAACGTCCAGCTCTCCAGGTGCAGGTGATCAGAGCAAAGGTCTACAACTATTCTACTGAGGCAGAGCTGAAGTGTCACAGCAGCTGCAGTCCAGCTGGTTCTCTGAACTACGTCTGGTTCAAGAACGGAGAGAAAATCACATCGATGAATACATCTTCTTATGAAGGCTTGTTTCAGCCCAGAGACAACATATATTGTGCTTTGGAAGGACATGAAGACTTCCCCTCTCCTGCAGTGTGTGAGTTTACACACATACACTGACATTACAATACACTGACATTATAGACATGCTGTACATAACCTCACCGGAGTCTTCTAAAGTACATTACATCAGTTTCATTTGTATCCGGACAACTTACAATAAGTGGAGACAACCATAAAAATAAAAACAAGTATCCTACAAGCATTTTAGCTTTCAATAAACCCAACATGTTCAGTGTTACATACATAAATTACTTTTTTATGAATACAAATATGTAGTTATTTTGTAATGACATTTTGAAGTCCAAAAACGTTGTTGCTGCATTAACTGTTTGATGTTATACAGTTTATTTTACTTAGATGCTATATTAAAGCCAGTTACCAGAGAGAAGCATGAGTTGTGAATCCATTAACATTAAGATTAAGAACATTTGAGTGGCTTTCTCCATAAGCAGGAATCTTTGATTTTACACCTGATCAAATTACAAAATAGATGACTAGGGATAATTTACAAATAAATTATAAAATAGTTAATGTGACAAATATATAATCTTTAACATGATTTGGATTTCCTCCAGATGGTCCAAAGCCTCCCTCTGTGTCAGTGAGTCCCTCTGCTGAGATAGAGGAGGGCAGTTCAGTGACTCTGACCTGTAGCAGTGATGCTAACCCAGCAGCTAACTACACCTGGTACAAGAAGGATGGAAGTGCAGACCTTTCTTCTGTCAGTGAAGGACCACGTCTCGTCCTCAGCTCCATCCAGTCCTCTGACTCTGGACAGCATTACTGTAGAGCTGAGAATCTGCTGGGGAGTAGAACATCTGAATCCATCTCTATTGATGTGAAATGTGAGTAAAACCCAGATGATTTAAAAAGCATAATGCAACCAATGACAACTTTATTCACAGTCTGCTGCTGTAGGTCAATGAGATGGAGAGCAGCTACAGTCGATGATGAAAATTAAGTTCTACAATTGGCTCCCAAATCTGCACGTATGTTCAGGGTATTCAAGCCAGCAATAATACAGAACACGAAATATATATACAACATAATTGTTTTCTTTAGCTCTATACCTGTCAAAAAACACTTCGAAAGTCAGATGCTCACACAGATAACCATTTTTCATTTCAATTCAACATGATTTTTACTTATTTCTGTTGATTTATTGTATTTATTTCAGACTCTCCAAAGCCTCCCTCTGTGTCAGTGAGTCCCTCTGCTGAGATAGAGGAGGGCAGTTCAGTGACTCTGACCTGTAGCAGTGATGCTAACCCAGCAGCTAACTACACCTGGTACAAGGAGGATGAAGACTCTCCAAAAGCTTCAGGACAGATCTTCACCATCACTGACTTCAGAGCTGAACACAGTGGGAGTTATTCCTGTGGAGCCCAGAACAAGTTAGGACGTAGTAACTCCACCTTTCATCTGATTGTTGTGGCAGGTAAGTTCTCTACATTCACCAGACCTGATTCACTTTGTAATATGAAGCAACCCAAGCATATTCAAAATGTCAGTGTTCAGGGAGGAACCTCCATGGGGTCAGAGGTGGATCACACTGACTATGTGATTTATCAATCTATAGTTAGAAGTATCACATATGTGTTCATGTTTCTAGGGAGTTCAACAATGATAGTGAATATCATCAGGACGACTCTGGGGGTCTTGATTCTGATTCCTGTGTTTCTCCTGAGTCTGTGGATGAGGTACAACAATATAAATTCATCAGTTTAAACATCCTTCTTTCGTGTTTTAGTTTACTTTTATGAAATAAAATCTGTATTTGTTGTTGTCCTTAATCCAGGAAGAAGAAAGCTCTGCGCTCCACCACTGAAGCACCTGCACCTGAAGAGATAGAGGTGAGAGAGAGCAGACCTATTGACAACACTTCCCCTTCCTCAAAGCTATACTGTGGCTCATAAATGCAATGTGAAGAGAACTTGTGTTTAAAGACAACTTCCTGAGTTGAAACCAGTCACGAATGTAACCAAGAAATAATTGTCATCAACTTTAAAATATGAAAACAATTTTATAAAATCTTAAAGTATATGCGGGTTTCATGAACGAGGGTCTAATGTTGTCTTCTCTCTCTTCATCAGTTGGACTCTGATCCTGAGTATCAGAACGACTCACACACTGCAGCACAGACAGAAGACACAGAGGAGCAGGAAGACATGGTGTGAAGTCCAGTCAGGTTAGAGCCTCCTGCATCAGATAAAACAGGCCCACTCCACATTTAGAGTCACAGTTCCAGCTGTAACTTTCAACAAGTCCTCCAACTCATACGACCAAATATGTCGTTTGTTCAAGCGCTTAATACGACCTGCTCCCGTTGAATAAAAACGTTACAGACGGTCGTTTATTCACAAATAACCCTCTCTGTAAAATCCTAAATTGTAGGATAGTTTGGCCATTAAAACGCTTTTTGATTAGATTTCTAGCGAGAAGTGTATATTGTACTTTTAGAATCCACGTCCAGTCGATATGTAGGATATATAGTTTGATAGATATTACGAAAATGATTTGAGGTATGAGGCAGCCTCCATGTAAAGTTACGGGTTGAAAACAGTATTTCCGGTCTTGACGTTTTCATAATAAAACCAATGATCAAATGAACATTTAATATTCATTACTAAAGGTACAGCCGAATCATCACAGCGCACAAAAAAAGAAAAACGCCACAGATGGACCAAAAAAGGGAGCGTTTAAAAAAAAAAGGGGCGGGTCCGCTCAGTGAAACGATAACAACGAAACATGGAGGAACAGAAGTCTGTGTTTACATCGTGTGTGTGTGTGTGTGTGTGTGTGTGTGTGTGTGTATAGAGGTGTGTGTGTAGAGGTGGGTGTGGTTAAAACACATCAGCCTGAAGTCGCTCTTAGCCTTTCTAATGATTCTGAAGGTATACACAGTGAAGGCGGTGCGTGAAAGGCACTGCGTGCTCCTCTTCTCAGAGGCTGAGTGAACCCTCCCGCTGCCTCCTGGTGCTGCAGAGATTTCATGAAGTGAAGGAGGTTTTCCTTCCATAAAACAGCTGCGAGCAGCAGATACTGTGAGTGTCACAGACATGAATACATAGATCAAGGCAGACTGGTGCACACACTCTCCTGTTTTGCCAATCCGGTGGTTAAACAAATATAGCTCTACACCCCTGGCCGACATGTCCTTAAAATGAAGTCTGAGTTCGACATTTTAATTAATTAATTAATTCATTACCTTTCCAATTCCTCATACAGTTGACTGTTACAGGTCTATACAGGTTCATGGTACAATGCATAAGCTTCAAATCGAGAGACTGAAACTGTATTTTCCTTTACCTTTCTGTTTTAATTTCACAATAAAGTGAATAGTCATATTATGTTTGATATTATTATGTTTTATTAACTACACCACTGGTTTTTTAACCCGCACCGCCTAGTGGTTAAAGCACGTTATTGAATTTTGTTGTTGAATACGTTTTATTTGATGAAAACATTTAAATATTAAGAGTAGCCTACATACAAAATTGAAAATATCAAGAAGATACTGTAGTGATCTCTACAATAAAACAGTTTAGTGCAGGACGTCCAAAGATATTAACAGGAGGATGTGAAAAACAGACCAACTAATAAGGCTTTATTTAAACATTAAAGATTACTTTAAGTTAAGGTCTTCTTTTGAATAAGAATTTGTTTTGGGGTTATCCACAGATAAATATGAAGTCTGACAAAGTACTTAACGTCCAATATATTGCATAGTTTATTTTGGCACTTGACAATCACCTTCCCTGAATTTGACTCAGGTGTAACTAAAGTCTGATTTAAGGGTTGTTTATATTTCACATCATTAATCAGAATCTGCAAAGTAACTAAAATAAATGTAGTGGAGTAAAAATACCAGGTTAACCTCTGAATTGTAGTGGAGTAGAACAAAGTAGTATGCTGCTGTAACAAAAACATTTCCCAACTTGGGATCAATAAAGTATATCTTATATTATCTTATCTTAAGCTGATCGATGGCTACTGCCATATTTGCAAAATGTGCCTCTGAACCTTGACAAGTGCATGTTTCAGGCTTATCAATGAACAACAGGAGGGGTCACAGACATAAGGCCAGCTGTTAAATAAAGCTCTTCTGACCTTAGGCTATATTATTTCACCCATTTATTAATTATATGTTTTACATTTGATAACACCACTGTGTTTCGTATCCCCTAAACCTCCAGGGTGTACACAGTTTAATACTGGCAACTACTAATTGTGGGAAATACGAAAACGTCTTATAAAGAAACGTGCCATATGATGTTGCGAAACACACAATAGCCAGCATGTGTAGTTCTGGGGGGGGCTGGAGCCGGGGGCTGGATCCGGGGGCTGGACCCATCCAATTCCAGTTTTGGAAAGTCTGCCGTCGTTCCATTCCATTTCAAAGAGCTGTTTGACATTCGGCGTAACCTTGTCGCACTGCCACTCCAACATCCAATCACAGAGCTTGAGGACTAATCACGGGGTTTGTAAAGCAAGGCGGATGTTGTAGTCCCAAACGATAGCTGGGGATTCTGGGTAGTGTAGTGTCTTCGGAAACTCTGTAGTGTCTAAACTCCTAAAAAACTATTTGTTTCTCTGAATCGAAGGTTAAAAACACAAACGCATTGTACACAATTTAAACCAATCAATATTGTGTAATTAACAAGGATAAACTGATGTTTTGTAGTGGATGAGTAATGGAGATATCACTGTGTAATCATTTGACAGTGAGGGGAATATATCCGGTTTTATTATGAAAACTTCGAGACCGGAAAAACTGTTTTCACCCACGCTAACTTTACATGGAAGCTGCAGCATATACATGTTCTCCTGGAGAGACCTCAGATCATCTTCGTAATATCTATCAAACTATAGATCCTACACCTCCACTGGACGTGGATTCTAAAAGTACAATATACACTTCTCGCTAGAAATCTAATCAAAAAGCATTTTAATGGCCAAACTATTCTACAATTTAGGATTTTCCAGAGAGGGTTATTTGTGAATAAACGGGAGCATATTGCTTCAGTAGAAGCTGCTGGGAGTCCCAGCAGCTTCTACTGAAGCCTTCCCCAACTCCGGGGACTTCCGGCCGGGGACTTTGGGCGGCAGTATACGCCGTGAAGTGGTTTGCGGCCTGCCAGTAAACCCAAAGCAGAAGAAGAAGAAGTGACGTCAGCGGCTTCATTTGCGTAATCCTCCCCCAGGGACTTATTCCGGTGTGAACGCGATCTGAACTTAATTCATGAGAACTAAAGAGTTCTCATGAACTAAGTTCTCATGAACCTTTGTGGGAAAAGTACTGTGGTGTGAATGTGCCTAATCATGTCGAGGTGTCAAACATGATTTATAGTTGACACCAGCTGATGGTAAGGTGCTCTATATTACTGCTTCAACTATGTGTACATGCTTATTTGTTATATGCAGAGTTGTTGATATTACAAAAGTCTCGTCAAACTGTTTTTTTTAATTCCACATAATAAATAACTTTTAAAAATCCTCATCAGTGTCTTGGTTAATAACTATACTGCCTGAGTCTATTTAAAACAGAGAGCCTGAAAACATCACATTTCTCTCCATGTACAGTTTAGATTTTCACAAAATGAACCATAAGCTCACTAGAAGAAGACTTTGTTAGATGTTACTGTGTAAGATTCAAATCAGAATAAATCAACAGCCAGCTCTTCAACAAGTGAAGGACCATCGGACGAGCGTTTGGAAAAGATCAAGTTTAAAAGTCTCTAAATCTCAGATTTTCTGTTTAACTCTTCATTAATTTGCGGTATATAATGTTTAATTATTAGCTAGCAAAAAAATCAAATAAGTGCTGCTTTTGTATATCTCCCATATGTCATTATTTTCTTCTTTTTTTCCATTCTATTTCTATGCAAATACTGCAATATTTTACTATGTTTTTAACTATATTTATAATATTTCTTCATGTTATTTTTTGTATGCACCATGACACCAAGTCAAATGCCTCGTACGCGTAAACCTACCTGGCAATAAACCTGATTCTGATTATTCAAAAGAGTTTGATGCTGATGCAATATGTCAATGGTGTTGGCCACCAGTGTGAACTTGTTGTCTAATATGCTGTCTATGATGACTAATGTTATTTGGGTTAATGTCAGGTAAACTGCTAACATTTAGATAGCTTTACTCATACAATTTAAAATATCTATCAGTGTCTGATGTTAGAAAGATGAGGTCTCCGGGTCCTGATTCAGTTTCTGATGTTTCACTGTCCTCTAGTGGGGGATCTTAAGTGAGACACATTCAGGCTTCATCACTCAGAGAGCTCCCTCCACCGTCTGCTTTAAAGGGTCAGGAAACCTAAACTACAAACACATGTATTTCCTCTCTTACCTCCAGGGGTATCTAAACATGCAGATAGTAAGTGATGAATTTAGCTGCATGCTGTGAGGTCAGTTTTATTTGTATTTGAAAGTGTCTGTCAAACTTAAGACATCTCTGCACACTGCTTTTCTAACTGATCCACCTAAACAAGCCAAAGTCATTTAAAGTATTGTTTTCTAATCAACATCATCTCAAACATTGTCTGTCCTGCAGTCCAGGTGTGAGTGGTTCCTGTTGGCAGGCGTGTACGTTTCCCACGTCTCGGAGTTCTGTATTTCTCTGCAAGCAAATGCAACCTGACCACAGAGATAAGAAACACCAAGAACAAAGATATGTAATTTTCCAGTCTCTCTGATAATTAATTTGGTTCTCTTCATCCTGTTCAGTCAAACTGCCTCGTGGGTTCAGAGATCAACTGTTATTCTCCTCTTCATTTAAATGCTCTTTTCTGGTGTCAGTGGAATATTGGCAGTGAAACAAATGTTTAACCGAAGTC